AATTACGACAAAATAATATTTATCGCCTTAATAAAGCTTCCTTGTGTGTAAAATTTTTATGCGAAAGATTTTTTCGTTTTTCAAGCACTAAATCTTGCTTTAGTCGACTAAATTTAGTTACACTAAATCTTTAGTCGACTAATTTGAGTTAACTTAAAAGTTAGTCGACTAATTTTAGTTAGACTAAAAATTTAGTTGAGTATTTTTAGTTAGACTAAAACTAACCTCAACTCCCACTCTTATATTTAAATTTTAAAATACTTAATATAATCAAAACAGTCCATGAAAATCAAGTAACACTAACTTAAAAACTTAACTAACTTAAAATATTTTGTCAAATTTTGGATATTTTTGTTTGATGTTTCATTTTGTTTGTTATTTAATTATTTTAATTTGAGATTGTTAAATTTCAAATTCTTGCACCTCATCTTTGAAATAAAATATTACCAAATTTTAATCTTTCTTTTACTCTTCCGGCATTTCAAACTTATTTTTAAAATATTTTCTTTATGGACAGCATTTTAAAACTCTACTAAAAACGTATATAAAATGTATTTGTTAAATTTTCAGCATATTATATATAAAAATGTTTGTATGTTGTATCTTTGCATTATGTTAAATCTTCAATATATCTATATATTGCATTTAAATGTTTAACTTTCTGTTTAAGATTCTGATGATATAATGCTAATGATCTTTATTTCAAAACCTATCTTTTTATTGTAAGTACGCTGAATTGTTTATTGTTTTAAAAGACTTTAATGTTAATTTGTATCACAACTATCATTGCAATATCACAACTATCATTGCAATGATATCACAACTATCATTGCAATGATATCGCAACTATCATTGCAATGGTATCACAACTATCATTGCAATGATATCACAACTATCATTGCAATGATATCACAACTATCATTGCAATGATATCACAACTATCATTGCAATGATATCACAACTATCATTGCAAAAGTCACAATTACAAAAACAAATTTGTTGACAAAAAATTTGATAGTGTTATTTTATTATTTTTTTCAGTTTACTACGCTTCATTGCTTAATCGTTATAATTTTTGATAAGATCAACTTCAACGTTAAGAAAATTGAAAAGCCAGTTTTTCATCATGAAAAGTGATTTTTTAAAGTTGTAAATAAATTCAAATAAATTTTTAATTAGGTTTCTGTATGACTTTACAACCAATTTATTGTAAACTCATATGTGTTAAGTTTATAATAAATTTGTTTTTTTGAGTTGGTTAGTGTATTTATAGAAGTTATTGGCATCAATATATCAACTATACCTAATGGGGCACATTGATCGTTGACTATGCGGGGCTCATTGATCGGAGGATTAAAGTGCCCCATATAACTTATATTATAAGACTTTAATTTTTTGTTTAAATTTTATACATTTAAACTTATGACGAATAAAAAATCTTTATATAAAATTTTAAAATTTCATTTTTAAAGTGTAATAGTTTAAAAAACTAATTTTAATAACATTTTTTAACAGTTTTTAGTTTTACATAAGTTTTACAATTAGTTTACATAATATTATTATATAAAGTTTTTTTTTAACAATCATTTTATTTTACTTTTTTTTTTTAATTTTCAGATCTTTAAATGGTTAGGTATAGAAAAAAAAAACAGACCGAGTTGCTTTATCATGTGATACAATGAAAGTCAACACGATTATTGGCATACGAGTTTGCTGTAAAAATAATAAGATATGCCCTTCATCATAGATCAAGAATATAATTGCAGGGATTGATTGGTTGCAAGGTTTTATTAAAAGACAACCAGAGTTGTCTTTACGAACACCTGAAGCAACTAGCTTTTCTCGATCAACTGCCTTTAACCAACACACTGTAGGAGAATTTTTCCAAAATCTAAAAACAGTAAGAAATTTATATAAGTTTGATCCTTATTGCATATATAATGTTGATGAAACTGGTTTAACAACGGTACAAAAGCCAGTAAAAGTGTTAGCAGGTAAAGGAAGTAAACAAGTAGGAAGAATCACATCTGCAAAACAAGGAACATTAGTAACTGTATGTTGTGCTTCAAATACAATTGGAAACTCTATTCCTCCACTATTTGTTTTTCCTAGGATTAAATTTCATGATTACATGATAAAGGAAGGTCCTCCTGGATGCGTGGGATTTGCAAATTCTTCTGGTTGGATGAATTCAGACATTTTTATAGAATGGATAAAACATTTTGTGAGGTATTCAAACTGTTCTCATGAATCTCCAGTTTTGTTACTTCTGGACAGCCATAAAAATCATATTTCTGTTAGAGCTTTGGATCTTGCAATTCAACATGGAATTACAATGCTAAGTTTTCCTCCCCATTGTACCCATAAATTGCAACCATTGGATAGAACTGTTTTTGAACCAATGAAAAGGTTTTACAATACTGCGTGTGATAATTGGAAGGTCACAAATCCAAGACCTATGACCATTTATGATATTGTTTCAATAGTTTGCGAACCATATACAAAAGCTTTTTCAACATCTAATATACAGAGAGGATTTCAAGTAGCTGGCATTGAGCCATTTAATCCAAAAATTTTTAAAGATGATGAATATTTACCATCATCAGTTACAGATCGTACATCTCCAAATGTAGTAAACACAATTCTTGTGGAACCTGAAATGACTGTAGCGCATGTTGATGGCATGGAGCCTGAAATGCCTGTACTACATCATGAAATAAGTTTTTCGAACAAAGTGTCACCAAGCATTGCTTCATTACTCTCACCTGAAGATTTAAAACCTTTACCCAAAAGCATCTGCTAGAAAAAGAAGTGTTAAAAGTAGGCAATTAAAAACAAGGATTTTGACTGATACTCCAATCAGAAATGAAATTCGTTTGTCAGAAGAAAAGGAAACCCTAAAACAAATCAACCAACAAAAGAAACTCATCGCAAAAGATAAAAAAAGGGGAGAAGTTAAAAACTACTTGCTTAGGAACAAAAAACAATGTAATGTAAAAGCAGCATCACGACTTGACTTTGACAAAGGATGATAATATAAAAAAATAATCTTGTAAACTTTAGTTCTAATAAAAGTCTCGTATGAATCTTGTATTTTCTTTGTAAACTTAAAATACTGTATTCTTATAGACTTTATAAGCTTCAAGTTTTGTAAAACTTAACACATATATATGTTAGTAGTATATAACGGGCTTATTTTCACAGATAGTATTGTGGTCATTCTTCTAATGAAAACTTTATACACTGGTGTGTATTAGGTTGTAATGATATATACATTGATAAAAATTAACTTTTAATATTTAATGAAAAAAATTAAATTTTTTATTATATGTATGAAAAACTTTTTTAAGTATGAAATATTTTCTTTTAGTTTACCGATCTAATTCCAGTGTGTCAATCCTGTTTGTTACATTGTTACATTAGAATTACACGGAAATAATAAAAATTCCTTTTTATAATAAAAAAAAAACGGTGTAAAGCCGATTATCTGGTTTGACAACTTAAAAAAACCGAAAACCAATTTTTTGAAAATTTCTGGTTTTTGTCAAGCCCTACTATGAGATCATATTGAGATTGCGACTTGTTATCAAACCATGAGATGTAATTTAGATATCAAAAGTTTCTCATGGTTCGATATCAAGTCGTAATCTCAATATGATCTCATGGTGATATCACAATCATACTTGAATTTATTTATCTATGGTTATGACACCTATATGATATCATATTGAGATAATTATTTGATATCGCAGCATGAGAAATTTTTGATATCGTATTAATATCATATTGATCTCATGCGTTGACTGGGTATATTCTAACCAACCCGCTACCTTGTTATGTCTTTGAACGATAGAATCAAGATTATATTTTTCTGAAGGTTGCCTGCGAATCATAATTCGGTTTTTTCGGTTATCAACCTCGATATTCATCTCATCACTGAACATTACTGTCCTCCATTTTTCTTTAGACCATTCTTTAACGCTTTGGCAAAATTCTTTTTGCTTTTTTATATGTTGTTTGATAAGTAGCGACTTTAGAATAGCTTTTTTTCTATAACATATTGTTAGCTTTTAGTTTCCTACGCACAAGTGATGCCGATGTTTGACGTCTATTTTAAAGCTTCCATCCCCTTCTTAATTCATGCGACGGCATGATTCGATTTTTTTTTTGCCAACCTGATTGAAAAGCGATCGTCATTGGGCGTCGTTAAACGCAGCCTTCCAGAACGATGACAATCAACGTAAGATTTTGTCTCTTTGAATCTTTTGATGATTGCTAGCACCGAACTATGTGATTGCTTTACTAATTTTTTCAATTTTGTAAGCGGATATTTAATCCTTATTTTTATAGGTTCTATAAATTTTTTTTTTTTTTTTTTTAAATCTTTTTTTTCTCATGTCATTTAGTCATTTAACATGTTTGAAAAAAAAGACTAAAGTTATATGCGCGTATATAACGTAAAATTATATATTAAAGAATAAAAATTAATTAATTTTATTTGAAAAAGTTAATTTTTTTTCTTTAGTGGCTCTTAACTTTTTCACAATACTATATCATATACTATATATATATATATACTTTTCATATACTATATATATATATATATATATATATATATATATATATATATATATATATATATATATATATATATATATATATATATATATATATATATATATATATATATATATATATATATATAATAAGATTTTAAACTAAAAAAAAATTAAAAAATTTAAATCTGAACAATTTTATTCAAAAAAATATAAAAAATACAACTTTTATTTGTATGGATAATAAGTATATATATATATATATATATATATATATATATATATATATATATATATATATATATATATATATATATATATATATATACATATATATATATATATATATATATATATATATATATATATATATATATATATATATATATATATATATATATATATATATATATATATATATATATATATATCGTTGAGCTAGAACAGCTAAATAAAAAAGGCATTGTTTCAAATAAATTAAATTAACCACGATTCGTTCCAGTTGCCCACGTTGGTCTATTGTCACCATCATAAATAACCAAGTTTCCATCTGTTTGCATCACGAGACGATGAGGTATAGAGCCTTGCTCATTAGTTCCAGTTGCCCAAGTTGCTCTGTTGTAAACATCGTAAATAACCAAATTTCCGTCATTTTGCATTACAACTCTTCTTGGAGCAATTCCTTTATTATAAGAACCACTTGCCCAAATTGCATTTTGTGGTACCCAATGTTGTGTAACATAGAGAACAAAGTTTCCATCTCCTTGCATAACTGCATAATAACAGTTACCTGATGAAAGGTACTCTCCAGGATAAAGAGTTAGTCCATCGTTTAAAGTAGTTCCAATGTTTCTTATCGCATCAAACTAAAATTTATATTATATTAATTAAAAAAAAGTTAGTTCATATATCGTATTAAACAAACTAATATAACTCAATTAATTTAGAAATATTGACCACCATTGATTAAATTAAAATAGTGGGAAGTTAAATCTATATAACACTCTATATCATAATGTTTACACCAATACGTTACCTGTACTTTTTGTACTCTTTTTACTGCAGTGCTGTTTTCATCCTTAAACGAATTTTGTAGACCTAAGTACAATACGTAAAACGAGTTTAAATAAGGTGATAAAAAATTTAATGACATTTTAATATAGGATATTAAAAAAATTATAAATTAAAGTAAACACCCAGCCGGCACAACTAAAAAAAAAGTTCTGTTGCGTGTTTAAAACCTTCGAAAACAAAAAGAATAACACGTACCAAGAGAGGTATTTATTCCGTGAATCCAAGGACATATTAATAGATAGACAAACTTCTAAGATGGACGAGTAACTAATTGTTTAAATAGCAATAGCCAAACAATAGGAAAAATTTGAGTTACGCGGAAATACTTTTATATGATTATACATCAAAATGACAACTGTCTCGTCTATCCAATAAAATAAAAAAAACTTTATTATGCAAAGTATTGCGATTAATATATTTTACTATTTTGTTAAAAATTATTTGATCTATTCAATCACCCTTGTATAACTTCTTTATAACTATATAACAAAAAGTTTTTAAATAATATGATTATTCTAGAGCTCTACTTGTAAAAGAAATTCCAACACCAAAAAATATCAAAACAAAGCTGTGAGACAAAAAACGATTTAATTTCCGTCAAAAAAGAGAAGTTTAAATTTATGAGAGATTAGGGAAATCTAAATGTGGAGAACAATGGTTGCCAACAATCTCCAGTTTAATCTTTAAATGATCTCCAACAATCTCCAGTTTAATCTTTAAATGATCTATGATATGACCTACAACACGTACCTATAACACATAGAAAGTTCTTTTTACTTTACAATTCATATAAGTATTCATATAAGTATATCATATTTTGCATTTTTATAAAAACATTACTTTTAACTTCAAAGTTTTTTTACAAATAAACTAATATTAAACGAAGCTTGCATATTAATCAAAATGTTTCCAAATACACGAGACATTCTTAATTACATAAAATGCATTTATATTTCGCAAAAGTTAGTATTTTACTAACTTTTATAAAGTAATAAAACATTTACTGAAAGAAGTTAACAAACAAAAAATGTCGGTTAAATGTCGGTCTATTTTGTAAATTTATTTTAAAAAAGGACGCTAAGAATTCCAACCCTAATTGAATTTCAGTAATTGGCGGTGCCTCGGAGCTATAACAATGCGTTAAACGTCCATCTATTAAAACGTCCTTGGTAAAATTAAACATTACTATTTACCAAAAATACCAGTTAAAATATTATTGGTTTCACCGTTACGGAAACGTAGTACTATATTAAAATAAATTTTTGTAAGGAATGTGAAACCACTGATTTAAATTCGACTTTAAAACCTCAAAAAATACCTGTTAAACTGACACGTGTTTTTGTTTACACCTGGATTGTGACAATCACGTGTCTATACAGGCTTTAATTCCGAAAAAGAAACTAGATGTACCGGTCGGGCATAACCAATGAAAAAATTTAATAATCAAAAACTTATCAAGCTATTTTTATTTTATCTCCAAAAGGTTGCTATGACAATTCATACATAACTACCTGTACAGCGTGTAGCACATGAAATAGTCTCAACTAATGGAATATTTTTACAACTATGTGCAGGTTTGCAAGTTCGTGTACGTGTGCTTACTGAACAGTTGCTAAATGGAGACCACTCACTAATAATACGCCCTAGAATAAAAAAAAAAAAGAATTAGAAGAGGTAAAAATTCAACTAATAAAAATAAGTTAAGAAACGCAATAGTATAAAAACTTATGTAAAGAATAAGGTTTAATAATGCAAAAAAATCCCAGTAACCAACTTAGGCTATATGGTTGGAGTTTTCAATATTAATATATACTAGAGTTATACTTCTAGAGTTTCCAACTTAGTAAGAAAAATATGTTTAACCAAAAAAAAAAAAAGATTAACCAATCCCTAATAAAATTATTCAAGAATAGATTAGACATATAAATATTTTTCACTCTTTTATTAAAACGTTAAGACAATATTTTAGCTTTTTTTTTACCCAATCACCCACACACACACGCATACACAAACACACGCAAAGAAATACCCTCGATCCCCACCATGTCCCTGGTAGTACCGCGCTCAACTCGTTTCTCCGCGCAGCGGCCTTGCTCGTCAAGGTTCGTGTTTCAGAGTTATAGAGTTGAGAGAGGGTTATAACCACAAATAAGTAGCCTCCTTGTCTGTAGTGGCCTTCTCGGCCTTGAGGAGGTGAATTAAAATAAAAAAAAAAATAATAATAAAAAAAAAAAGTTGTGAGTACAGGCGCCAAATCTTGCTGAAATTGTCACCATTCATTTTAATAAAGCAGGATGTCCACTGCTGGAAATGTGTTGTTCTTTAATGTCTCTATATAAGTATGAAGTATGTTGGTTGATTCAACCTGTATATATGTTATACACTCATACTCCATTAAAATTAAAGGACTTTCAAATACCGACACTCCTAATTCCACTTTGCAACCTCGATACAACAAAGCAATTACTATACTTTTCCAATTTAAATCTTTTAATAAGAACTTTGCTTTTTCTACTTATTACTTCAAAGTTACTTTTATCACTGAAAATTATTTGCTTCCACTTCTCTAAAAATCACTCAACTCTCTCCTTACAATCTTATGAGCCGATCCCTGGCCGTCAACATTTTCTAACAGCTGCATAGACACCAATTTTGTCAAACTAACATATTAAGTAATAAAATAATTATGAACAACTGTCGAGTTGACAATAAAGTAGAACAGAAGTTAATTAAATAGTTTAAGAACCTTTTTTTTTTTTTTTACAATCTTTTACGATATGTTTTCTTATTCCTTTAAAAAAAGTAAACTTTTTAAAAAAAAAGTAATTAAATACAGTGCCAGATTAGGGGGGCTAGGGGGGCTATAGCCCCAGGTTCCGCAAATTCCGCAAAAAAAAAAAAAAAGGGGCCCCCAAAAATTTTAGAGGACTTTTTTTTTTTATTATATATAAAATAATAAAAAACGCCTCGAAAAATAAAAATAACCCCGGGCCCCAAAAGATCTTAATCCATTACTAATTAAATATGAACTTGTTGTTGACATGTTAGTTGTAGAAAAATAATTTTCCTGTCGTAAAAAAAAATTAAGTTTTTACAAAATATGGATTGGTTTTTATGTTTTAAAAAAGAAAATGAACTAAATTTTTTGACTAGGACTATTTTTTGAAAGCACTATTGATTACTACTATTGATTATTTATTAACTACAGATATTGCATTTAATGTAACAGGTTCATAACTATTAGAAAAATTAACTAAGTTAAATTTTAAGGTTTACCAGGTATATCAAATACACTTCCTGTTACCAATCTCTGTCTAAGATGATTGCTTCCTTATCTTTTAGAGTCACACTGCACATTCTCTCAACAACCATCTTCTGTGTTGTTTTGATTGCTGTGACATTTTTATACAAACCATAATAACTATTACTACCCATTATTCAACATCTAAATACCTCAAAACTCTCTATGTTAACTCTGTTGGTACTCTGTCAAAAGCTTTTTTTAATATTTGTAAACGATTTCCACAGATAATTATTTTTTTCCCTAAGTCTTTCTTGAACTCATCTTACAATAAATACTGCATCTGTTGTTCGCATTCCGAGCCTAAAACCAAACTACATGTTATTGACAATTCTAATAAATACAGTTTGGTTTTGGCTTCTTTATTTACTGTCATTAAACTTTTCTAAAATTTTAAAATAATATTACTCCTTAGTATTAATCAAATTCTATTTCATCATTGTCACCATATAAATCTTCATCGCCCAACCTTTTCTTGAGTAATTTAAACTTTTACCTTAAATAAATAACAGCGTTGTAGGAAATCTGACTCATACTGAATACCCACATCCCCTAAAACTATCCCCTTCACTATCTCAGCTAGTACACTACATCGAACAACAGTCTTGCCAAATCAAATTCTTTATAGAGCTGACTATACTTTCTTACTAGCTACCTGCTCTGCTGGTCCACTTACTTTGTTTACTGCCAATAAACTTTTTCTCCTGAAAATTTGCTTTAACACACAAAACATTATTAAAGCAATATATTTATATATATATATATAAATATATATATATATTTATAAATATATATATATATATATAAATATATATATATATATATATATATATATATATATATATATATATATATATATATATATATATATATATATATATATATATATATATATATATATATATATATATATATATATACTGCATATGTGTGACCCATGTGGGTCACACATATGCAACTCATATGGGCAGCCCATATGAGTTGCATATGTGTGACCCACATGGGTCCAACTTTTTTATTTGTTTGAATTTTTTATAATATTTTGAATATTTATTCATTTTTAAACTATATACATATAATTTAATATGTAGTCATAAATATGTCAGGTGAGTCTAGCTTTATAGAAGTAAAACAGGAAATCAAACATAGAAAGAATAAGGTAAACAGAAATAAACATTTATAAATATACCACAGTGTTTAAATAATAAAATTGTAAAAGTAATTGTCTTATATAAATAAGAAAATTCAAACCTTTTGGTATTGTGGTTTATCCTTCTCCGTCTAGTTGCCATATAAAAGGCCACACACCAAGACAAATTCGGCTCCCCAAAGAGTGTCATAACCCTCTTTACGGACCAAGAATAAAGTGATTTTGAGAAAAACGAAAATATGTTAGAATGAAAAATAAACTTAGAAATGTAGCATAGAGAAAGAGGACAGGATTGCACACAATGTTAGGTAGTGCAATAGGTTGTTATACAATTATTTGAGCCAATTGTTGTATGTCTCAGTTCAGACCTTTTTTGATTAAGTTTAATTCATATTTTGTTATAAAAGAGACCTGTCATTTTATTTACATTTTTGCTTGTTGGTTTATAAAAACTCAAATAGTGTATGCACTTTCAAAAACTTTTTATACATAGAAAAAAATAATTTTCAAATCCAATTTAAAACTCTTTTACCACTAATACATGATATTGATTACGAAGTCTTTAAAAGGATTCGACTTTAAATAAAAAGAAGATTTTTCAATTTGAATTTAGTTTAAAATTGGAGAAAAGCTTTATGACGTAATTACATTTGAGAAATGTAAAGGGGTTTTCATAAAGTAAGTTTGGTAATGTAATTTTTACTCCTCCAGCTATTTGCCTAGCGGAGTACCTCTTACCATTGCGCGCACGATCGGATGGCATTTAAATTTAGAAAATAAGATGGAATTTAACGCTTTTTTAACTACATATATGGGCCCTAAATAGGCCTCATGTGGGCTAGTCCTTGAATACAAAATGTTATCTTTTTTAACTACATATATGGGCTTGAAATGGGTCCAGGTGGGGTAGCCTTTGAAAACAAAATTTTGTATTCAAGGACTATCTCACATGAGCCCATTTTGGACCCATATATAAAACCCACATAGGGCCCACTTGGGCAAATCCATATGGGCCCCAAAAGAACATGGAAGGAGGCGTGAACTTCCAATTAAATGCTCATCCGTGGTGCTCTTTCATAAGACCGTAAGGACTTATTGGGGTAACTAAATAAAATTAAAAAAAAAAAATTGAATATAGCGGGTGATGTAAAAAAAACACCATCCAAACTTGAAAAATTTTACGGGTTGTTAAAGACATGTGAGTTGATCGTCGTCTTGATGAATTACGACTCCATAAAAATTAGCCAATACGGGGCGTTTTTTATCAATTGCTGCATTAAGCGATTAAGTTGATAATAGTATTTCTTCGAACTAATTATTTATTTTTTTGGGAAAAGATCATGATAAAGATTAGCTTTAAAATCTCACCATACGCAAACCATAAATTTGTGGACATAAATATTTTGCATTGGTGTTGTTTGCTAGGGCTCTCGATACAATCTTTTACGCTTCAGGTCTGTATGAACAAAGATTTTTTTTTTTTTTTGAGAGGGAGGGGGGCAGTGCTGGATTAAGGGGCCCGATATAGTTTGAAAGACTTTTTTTTATTTCAAGTTATTTTTTCAGTCTGTTTAAAATTATTTATTTAAAAAATTATTGGGGGTAAATGCCTGTTCTGCCCCCTCTCCCCCGGTTGCTACGGACCTGCGCTTTAAATTATACTGAGAAATCCACACCTTTACATGACGTATCGCAAGAACGAAATTTTGCAAACCAATTCTGGAATTGTACATATTCTATAAATTGCAGATACCTTTTTTTGGCTTGCGTTGCGTTTCTTCCTTTCCCGAAATAAAATATTATCAAACACCTAAAGTACTTCTGATTTTGCTCTATATCAACAAGCATTTTAAAATATTTTTTCTTGTAAATAATCAAAGAAATTGAGATTAAAATCATATAAAGATACAAACCTCTCAAAAAAGTGTATATATAGTTTTCAATAATATATATATATATATATATATATATATATATATATATATATATATATATATATATATATATATATATATATATATATATATATATATATATATATATATATATATATATATATATATATATATATATATATATATATATATATATATATATATAATATGGCTATTGTAAACACGTACGATTAGGGCTCGGTGATAAGACAAAATAATGTATTCTGCTTATCACGTTTTTGCTCAAAATATGAAATATTTTGAGTGAAAAACGTTTTTGTCACTAAAAATAGTTCTTTTAATTTATAGTTCTTTTTTCCATATATACATTCATTTCGCCGTTTAATAACATTTAAAATTTAAAAGTGTATATATAAAAACACTGGCGGCGAAAAAAACTTTTAGAGGTAAAGAAAACATTTGAACCAATTCAGTTTTACAAAAAATAGCTCAACCCTAAATGCCACATTTGTTATAAGTAAAACAATTAAGCACTGCAACAAAAGCAAATCATTTAAGAACCGATACAATGTTAGTAATGCTTCTTTATGTTATAATACTATATCGTCATAACACTATATCGTTGTGTTATAATACTATATTGCTATTATAACACGAAAGCAGTAACTCTTTATCTTATCTAAGATGCAAACCACATTCATTTTATTTATCGCAAGGAGTGAGACAAAAATCAATTCCTTTCAATACCTAAAGCAATATAAACCATTATTCCACCCATAGTATTGTAGGGAAATTAATTTATAGCAACATACTACACAGGTGTTGTAGCATATACATCATATGACATCATACATCTTAGCTTTACCCTCTCTGGAATTAAAAAGCTGATAAATTGTTGAATGCTGTGAAGACCAAGTTCTTGTTAACCATAAAAAACCAAATTGTAAACTGCGCAGCCGCCAAAAAATAAAACTATATGATAAATTTAGGGATATAAGTTTTATATGCGATACTAAGAGTTTTTCTTATGCCTCAATAAATCTTTAAATATTGATTATAGAATATCAAATTTCACTGCAGTAATCCAAACTTTTATTGAGACATCTATTTGCTCAATCCGCTTTGCTTATACAAGCTCTATTAGTTAGTTATATAAACATTGACGGTTCTGGAACTAACGTATGCCTTTGAGCTTAGTGATTATAAAAACTTAATAATGCAAATGTTTGATTTAGTTGGAAGAAAAGCACTTAAGTCACTCTTTAAAGTTTCCAAACACAGCAAAAATTAAATTAATTTTTTGTTTACATCTAAGATATATCAACAACCACACATCAAAGAAAGTTGAATTTATTTTCTCGCATAATGAACAATAAAAATTTTTTTGGGTTCTACGAATTCTGAGTTCTAAAGCGAAACCACTCGTTACCCTATTTTAGATAGTGCCAAACGTTTGTGCAATTAAAATGAACTGAATCTAAAGAACTTAATACAACGCAAAATAAGTAAAAATTACAGTCATAAAAAATAAAATTTCTAAAAATAATCTTTAAAATTAAACTACACAATCGGGTGGAGAAACTTAAACGAAGAAAGAAAAATCTTCCATGATATTCTTGAAGTAAAAATTCCAAGGTAAACTTATTTCCTCGTCAAAATCTAATAACTTACCTTGTATTATATATAGTGGGTGATTAATAAAATGTATATATTACTTTTTTAGAACTAAAAATTACAAATTAAAAATCATATTTCATGAACTATTCTATTTTAAAATTGTATTGAGTTAATAATAATAACGTTTTAATATTACGCACATTAGAGTAGACCGGGGCAGGTTGGCCATCTAGGTAAAGGTTGGTTGGAATTTAACCCTCTTAAAAAAAAAATCATATTTGTTGGATCATAGTTAGAAGTGATGGGCTATTTTTAAAATTTTTGATACATCAAAGTAAGTTTTGAAGAGTTTATTACTTTAGTTATATTAGTTTTTTTCTCAATTGGAGATGAATTCATTGATAAATTTTAAGTTTCATAATATAATCCCTCAGCGTTCAAAAATTATCCACTAATTAAAGGGTTCCAAATTTTTGAATGATGAAATATTAAAATATAAAGCTTTAAGTTTCATGGTAAATATAAATCTAGTTGAAAGTAATACAAAAATTATTTTATCAACTTGATGCTTTCACGTTTGGGGCAGGATGAGTGAAATTTGGGGCTTTTTTGTTCCCAGTCTCCAATCTTCGCGATTTTTTGCAAAGCATCCTTTTTTGACATGAATATAAGTTTATTTCAAGAATATTTAAATACATTACTTAAAAGTATTTATTATTTAAAAGAAAAATTGTTTTAAAATTTAAAATTTAAAAATTTACCTTTTGAAAATGACAATAAGCACACAAACAAGAAACCAAATGAATAATTCATTCTAAATATATTTTTTAAAAATATTGTCAGCTGTATTTAATAAGTTTCTTAAATAAAAATTAGCTATGACAATAGAAGTTTAGTGACGCCAAAATAAAATAAGAAACTTTTTTTTTTAATTTATTTTTTCACTTTTTTAAATAATTATTGTAGATTTTTTATAACTTTAAAATCTTACCACAAATTACCCGTATAGCCTTAAAGATTTTATCCGTAAATATGTATACACACACACACACACACACAGACATTTATATATCTGTGTGTGTGTGTGTGTGTGAGTATACACACCTGCATTTTTTATATTTTAATTTAATAATAAAACAATAGTTACAAAGTGACTTTTTACAATTGAAACATGAATAAAAATCATTATAACTCCCTTGAGTTTTATTAAAAAAACCGATGGGTTTAGTGTTTTTAAACGTATATCTATATATAAACAAAGTCTGAAACAAAATTTTAATAACGGTATCATTGTTGCGTCAATTTTTAAAATGATACATTCTAATAATAAAAAAAGTAATTAGTTTAAAATTTTGTTTCATTTTTATTCCTTGACATTAAAATTATCATTATTTTTTTAATAAGACTGTAATTGCGTTTTTGAATGGTTAGAGTGACCATTGCGCAGTGCTAAAGTAATTTTAATTAGTTTATCGCTGGGCTTTCCTACATAAAAACTTGGACAATCAATCATTCACTTTTAATGGACAAAATTAGTAACTAATTGAACATTAGGTTTTTATTTACTAAATTTGGCATGTTTACTAATATGAGGTCTGCGCTTCTTATGAAAGTGATATTTTTACATTTGGTTGCTATAAATACCGTATTTTACTTAGCAACAACCTATTTTTGGTAGTTCTAGATGTTTTATGAGTGTTATATTATAATTCGTTAATGCATTAATATGAGGTTTGCTCTTCTTATGAGGGGTATATTTATCATTTGGTTGCTATGTTTATCTAGTTTTTTGGATATCTAGTTTACATAGCAACAACCTATTTTGATAATTGCAGATTTTTTACGAGTGCAATATTTACTAAATTTGACATGAGTACCAATACAACGTCATACTCTATATGGAAATCATTATTTTTTTAATTTAGTTGCTATGAATACCTATATTGCTTAACAAATAGATACTTGCCTTAGTTACACAAAGATAAATGGATTTTTGAATAAATTTTTATCGAATTTTCATCCATCCTATTTTAAATAACTATTAAATATTAAATATTAAGGTAATTAATTTTAGGTTATTAAAAATACAAACAAAAAGTATTTCATTAAAACATTGACAATTTGAATCAAATTAAGAATTTATACAACATGCATACATGCATAAATTAAGAAATCATATTTTGGATGAGTTGACAGTTGGAGCCTGAAGTAAATTACTAACTCTTTCTCGGAGTTGAAATGCGAGAATTTGACCTCCTCATGCTGCTGATTATTAGGTCTGACGAGCACGAAAGTTGGCATAATACATCATAGTTAGTTTTCAAACGACTGCATTTGCGTATGTAGTTTTCACGAAAATGTTTGAAGTACTTGTTCTCGTGCTTCCTGTACCTCTTCAGAGAGCATTCCAATAGGCAAGATCATTCTTCTCACAACCTCATATCCGTATTATTATATCCTGTGCAAACTTTGTGGCATGTAATACTATGGGTTGCTCTGTGCAAACAAATGAGCCACCTAAAATAGGCAATCAATTATGTAGTTACAAAGCTAAATTGGCTACAGCTCAGTATAGAAATAATATTAACAAACAAACTTTCCTAAATTCAGTACTTTTGACATCTTCTGCATTAATTAGCAAAGCTGATGACAATGTGGCCAAGATGACATGCAACTTTTTCAGCAGTAGAACATCCAACTTTAAAATTTCAGCCACAATACTTTCAGATTGGAAAAAAACGACGGGATGTATTTCCATCATTGGATGTCGCAGAACCACCAGATCTGGGCACATCAATAATTAATCTAAGACAATTTTTAAAAGCATCTTGGATTATTTTTTTGTTTGTCGTTACAGATAACTTTTCTTTTGTGCTGCGCGCCTGCCTCTTTTGGTTATCCTATTTGACAGCATTCCTTTGTTCTAATCCATGCATGTAATAATGTAGACCAGAGTAGTTTCCATACTGTAGATTAGAGTTGTTTGCCTTTTCAATTTTTGTTACCATTTTTTCAATAATGTTTATCTCATTTAGTGCGCTGCCACATACTGAGTAGGGCTGTGATGCATTGATCTCAACTGATAATTCTAATACCACTTTACCATCTACCATGGTTATTTCAATGATATTTGACATATTTAAATAATGAAATAAAACCTTTATGCTATGCCAATTCTATTATTCATTTATTATAGCTTAAAATGATATTAGCATTCATAACTGTAACTTAGTATTACCTTTTAAATGTTAAAATGTAATGAAATAGAAATCAATACTGTTGTTTTGCAAAAATAAATTATGTATCCATAGAAACCATTTAACATTATAACTTCCATAAGAAGTGTGAACCTCAATTTAATACACGTATTTAATATAGTGTACATAGCACGAACAAAAAACTATTAAAATACCGTTAATGTAAAATAAGTTGTTGCTTTGTAAAATTTAGTACCATAGCAACCAAATGGTACCATAGCTTGATGTATGAAATATTTTGTTTAAACATGTAAAATTATATCAGCTTTTGCAAATATATTTGCTAGGTTACAGGTTTTTTTTTTCAACAGGTACTGCCATTAGTGAATAGTAGTAACAGTACAGAAAATAGCCAAACTGAATTAATTCAAAAAGGAACCCACGCAAAATGAGAACGGCAACAAGTTCATAAAAAATATTTTTTACTATTCTCAATTAAACTTATATTTGTCAATAAACTTTAGGTTTCATGGTATTATCTCTCAGGGTTCAAAAATTATGAACATATAAAATTTGTAACCCCCTCAAGTTAAGGGGGATTTAAACTTTATATGTCATAATTTTTGAACGTTGAGAGATAATACTATGAACCTTAAAATTTATAGACAAATATAAGTCTATTTATTTATAATTTTATAATAATAAATTTATAGACAAATATAAGTCTATTGCAAATAGTACAAGAATCTTTTTATCAAATTGTTGCTCCTCACGTTTGGGGTAGGGAGGAAGGGGATGAAGTTAAATGGTTTTTTTGTTCCCAGCCTGCAATCACCGCAGGTTTTTGCACAGCCTCATTATTTGACGTAAGCATAAACATACAAATGTTTTGATTTTGCTCCATGTCTAGAAGTTAGCTCTCTACACCAAAAATCCTGGATCTGTCACTGATAAGTTCAAAATAATTCAAATACTTTTAAGTTTGAAATTAGCAAATGAGTGAAACTGCTATAATTTAAAATTTAATAATGATTGATAGACTACCTGCCTAACTAAACCCTGATTTGATGTAGCATTACTCCCTGCATGTTCTACCTATTTATCAGTCAATGTATGTAAACATTTTTTGAATTTTTTCTGTATTTATTGTTTTCGATAAACTTCTACATTTTCTTTGAAAGTGGTTTTTATTGTTTATGTTGTAAAGTTGGTATTTTTTGTTTAAGATAATGATGTACATTTGTGAATTTCGAAATAAGTTTTCGACAATCAGAAAATTATAATTTTGATCTTAATCATTAAAATAAGTTTCCGTCAGTTTTTTTTCGACTCTCGTCATTTTTTCGAGCCGGTAATTTTCAATATTTTTCACCCATTAGCATGATCGTCATTTAGTTCCGGATTATTTTTTTACAGTGAATTTTTCATACTTTGTCAATAAAACAACATAAATTAATTAAATCAATAAAACAACATAAATTAATTTTAATCAAAAACTTTGATAACTTAATTGGAATTTATTATTTTACCGTAAAAAAAAAGTTAGGTTTGGAGAATTACAAATAACAAAATGTTACTAAGCAATTTAATTAATTTCTTAGTTATTAACAGAGTTACAAATAATAAAATATAACTTAATTTTTGTTTCTGGCTTCCAAGTGTCATACTGTCCAAATGTTTCCATCTAATACTGTTTGCTTTAATACAAAGTTGCTTAATGAATTGATGCTTGTAATTTTAATTTTTTACATTGAACAACCTACAATTTAAAATATGTGTATTTGAATGTGTTTCAAGTTTATAATTACCTTGCTACTTTACCACGACTGATTGTTTAATGTTGCTACTTCAACGTGTCCTTTAACAAAAATTTTAAAAAGCACCTTTTTTAACCTTTTGCTACCAAATGATCTTAAGTAAAGGTGTGCGTTGATAAATATATCAAATTATCTTATAATTTTGATGACGTCTCTTCATACCAATTACATTAAGAGACGTCATTAACTAAATAAAGTCCTAAATTGCATCAATGACAGTTTTAAAGCTTTAAAAAACTTGCAACATTTTGAACAGATAATTAAATGATGACAAAATGAGAGAACACGAAAAGTTGATGAGTAATTTTTTATTTCAAAATAATCTTTGTCTTAAGAATTATAGCAGAAATTTTTATTACAGTGGTCATCGATTGACATCAACGGAACCAATTGACATCAATAGTCAGCAATTAAACGGGATAAATGAACCATGATCAAAATTGACATCAATAGTCATCAACTAAATGGGATAAATGAACCAAGAGAGCCATGATCGGCAAAAATAGTTTTCAATAAAACAAAGAAGAGCATTTTCTGCATCCATTCAACTCTAGTAATTAAATCTTTATTTTTAGTTACATGATTGCTTGCTTTGCGCAAACTTATCAGACTTGACGTATATATAACTATGGAACAGTTTTCTTTAAAACGACAAGTGCTAAATTAACAATGAGACAATTAAGTACCAAACCATTAAACTGTTAAACTCAAACTAAAAAATAGCTTACAAAGGTATTAACGGTATAACATAAAGGTTCTAACAAACACCAAAACTTGTGAATTACTTAATTTTTTTAACT